GTTGGCAATCAAACCATTTTGCATGCACATTCAACCTGCGTGTGTGTGGTGGGATGCACAATAAACGGGCGCGTCATACCAGATAAATAATACGTGCATTTGATGCAACGGGGCAATATTATAGAGAACTAGTTAAAAACGCATTTTCAACTGAAACTAACTACGGATGCAAACACACGCGAAATGCGCGGATGGATGGATGGAGGAGTCAACAGGACAAACGAAGAAAAAAAAGATGCTATGTGATTGTATCCTGATCGTAATCGTGGTGGTCATCGGAAGAGGCTGACTGCGCCGCGGGGAGAAGACAGAGAGAACAGGAGAGTGGGGCGAGAGAGAGAGAAACGAAAAATCATCAAGTTGATCTTTATTCACTTTTTTGGTAGAACGCACGGAACGGGAAGGTAATGAACCAACTAATCAGGAATGAAGAGGAATTCGTGGGAATCTGAACGGTAAAATCTGACACAGATACCAACGGAATTCTAGTGATGTAATTGTTAGACGCTTGAGAGGATAACTAAATATGCCAGCGAATAGTTTCATGGTAACCCCAAATAGTTCAACTGTGCAACTGGTTACTGATAACGAACCGGACAGCTAGATGAGATCGAAAATGCAAACGAAAGAAAACCTTGGAATTAAAAACAAAAATAAACGATTTAGACTGTCCAACTAATGATCAGCAGATGCAAAATGAGGCTGTAATTAGATAAAGTAGTGTAAACATCATGGTTTGCTTCATGACACGGATAGGATAGCGACAAGAGTGGGAAATAAACGTATATAACGAACCAGCGAATGAGGATAATTAATTGCTCGGAGGCCACAGGGGGAGGGGGGGAGGGGTTAAACCATGACTAGAGAACAATAAGGTGAATAGCTGGATCCGTGGATTTGGTCATGTAGTTCGGGATCAGTCTAGTCGACCGACCATTGAAGATATAATCCAGTATCGAATCGTGTCGCGGACAGTGGTTTCAGTATCTTAGTTTCATTTTTTACGCACATCACATTTAATGAACAGTGAGTGGCATGGAAGATGAACATTTTTATTGCTTCATTCACTCATGTTTTGGCTGTGTATATCACCTAGTTATCCTCACACGGTTCACTGCGTCAGCGACACGATGCAAACATGACAATTTTGCGCACACAATCGCCTCACTTTTGTGAAGAACCAACACGGGAATCTCGGCTGGCCATGGTGCTACCGCATTTGAACAGTTCACTGCACTTTTGATTCGTTACCTTCTACTTCTCTCCAGATGAGAGATGCGCCATTGTTGCTGGCTCCAGATTATGGAATTCGTCCTTTGAGTCAGAGAGCTGTTAACGCTTGATTTTTGAACTGAAACTTCACTGAACCAGTAGATTTTTACGCCTTCGCAATTAGATTGTGCATCAAATAGTGCGGATTCTGAGGTGGAACGAAAATAGAGGCCTGCGGACAGTAGCGCAAAGACAGATATTGGACACAAAGTGCAACACTCGGTGTGACCATGGTAACTGGGGGCGTTTACTCAACAAACAATATGACCAATTGAAACCTCCAGTTTGAGCAGGAACCTAATAACGGAGCGAGCCGTGACTCCGTGAATTTAATCGATCAATGCCAAAACAACAGTGCCGTCTGAGATAATAATTCAAGTCAAAATGTAAACTGAACTGCTGGGAGTTTGGACTTTATCGGATGTACGCAGTTTGCCCAACGAGATTGATGAGTTGTTGTTCTGGATACCGGAATTTCCGTAAAGTATCGGAGTGAAAACAATCAAAACCGAACAGACACACTTACCTCCACATCAGCTGAGTCCTGATAGTTTTCTCGACGAAGTTGAGCCAGTCGCCGTCGTTCATTGACCAATTCACTTTCCAGATGTAACACACGAACTTGGCTTTCCATTTCCATTCGTTTAGCTTGGGTAAGCGTGAGACAACTAAAATCCAGATCTGACAAAACAAATGAGGAGCGGGAGGAGGGAGATGAATCAGATGAGCGGGTACGGTGGAGTGGGTAGTTGATACAGATTTTCGTTTCGCCCCGGCAAACGGAAGGAATGAAGATGATGTGACTGCAGAGCAGGGAAGAAAATAAGAGAGGTGTTTCGCGATTCAAGTATCACGTCAGAGTTGATGGATCGCAATTAAGCCACACACACACAGCGGGGCAACATTGCACAGCCTAAGAATTGCTTGTGTGTGTTGTGAGTCCGGAATACAGGTCCTCGCATCGACAGACACAAGACCGATTCTTCCAAAATGATCTACATCAAAGTGACAGCAGTGTGAGCATTAGATCTGCGCGCGAATGAAACTGGCACCGAGACAGCACGGATAATGGAGGTTGTTTGTTTGTTGAAAACTCAACGGGTTCGTTGGGCTCATATTTAACGTTACACACCCTACCTATTCGTTAAATCTAGAAATTAACAAAGTGGAGATGCAAAGGGTGCTCAGCATTTAGAACAACGAATAAAAAACTACCTAACACGCAACGATAAACCATTGTGACAGGGGGCTTTGAATTCGGCCGCACGGTCGGTTTCATTATCGGACTCCGAACTGCATAATCACTCTTCACTTGATTTTCATCTGCGATACACGTCCTCCGTTGCTACAGGTACGTTGTGTGAGGATGGTCATGAAATACCCAGCTCCTTTTATGAATTACCTGCAAAGTTCCGGCCAATGGATTTTACGTTCTTTTGGCAAATCGGTTGGTAAGGGAGAAGAATCTACAGAAATCTCAAAACATTTCCCACAAAACATCAAGCTAGATGGCAGTTCGCACTAGGCAAACGCACCGTCTAAGATATCGACATTCTAACAATAATCAGTGAAAATGTGCGCTCCCTGTTTGATAATATGGTAGAAAAGATCTGACAAGGAGAAGTGAATCGTAATGCTTCAGGAAAGCTGGTTCCACAAACAACTTGAAGATAACGTTATCAAAATCGACAATTTTTTCATCTGCCGAGTTGATCGACCCGTTCCCGTTCACAAGCGAGGCGAGAATGTTATCACATACATAAATGATGATTGGTGCAAATCAGACAAATTAGTTTTCATGTATTCTACCATTTTTATCAGTAGATCTAAACAACTCAGTAACTGTCGGACCATTATTTTTGGTAACATTTACATTTCTCCTTCTTGTTCCACTGATCATTTTAATGAGTTCACAGATATTTTCCCCAAAACTTCACTAAATTACGTAGACTTTGCATCGTGTGTGGTGACTTTAATTGGTTTGATGTCTCTTTATTGACTACCCTTGGACTTGTTAGCTTTCCGATCAGACTCGAGGTTTGTCTCAATTTGTGTTTCGTTAACGTGTGTAGCCGGTCCCCTACTGGTACCTTTGATCATACGACACTGAAACTATCTGCCGTGATCTAGGGTGGATCCAGCCATCAATTGTGCACTCGAAATGGTGGTCATCAGCCTGTAAACCTCGCTAAACTAGGAGATATATCAAATCAGACACATTGTAATTTATTTGTATTTAATGACCACCCAGTGTTTTGTGATAATTTGGCTGAATAATTGAAACATTATACAAGCAGTTTCTCGTTTCCTACACTTGAATAACTACGTTGGAAGAGAGAATAAGCTTTCAAAACCAAAGAGCATTCTTTGGTGAGGGACTACTCGAAAGCGATCAAGATGGAACTGCAGAGATTAAATACTGCTTGTGTACATGCACCGTTGGCTAACATAATTTGTCGCGATACAAGGAAAAATTGTTTCAGTTCTAGTCTCAAATCGAAGAAGAGTCTACCAGCTAACAGCGTGGACGATCTCAATCGCTGCTGGAGAGTGGCTTCTATTACACCAGTAACCAGAAAGGGAACGTCCAAATTTTGCCCGAGTGCTTGCACGTCTGTTCATTTGAAAGTTCTAGAAAACAGTTCATTACAGAAAATGTCTTCTCAGCTAGACGCACCTCATCCAACTCAATTCGCTAACCGCAGATCCAGGTCAACTCTAGATGCGCTGGTGTTCCTCATCCACCATGTTTCCTCCTCTTTGGACAAACACTGTAAAGCTGTTCGGTTTTCTTTGACTCCAGTGACGACTTAAATTGGGTTGATAGGACAAAATGTCTTCACACTCGCCGCGAGGGCATTCCGCCGCAACTTACCAACCCATGGAGACTATTTCATCAACCGACTGAAGCACACTAAATATAAGGGTCATAACTCTTCACTTTTAACATCCACTCAAGGAGTTCTCCAAGGTACTATTCCTTGTCCCTTCCTGTTATTAGACCATAGTTCTTCCACGCCCGCTTTTGATGATTGTTTGCTCATTAATTATGCTGATGATGTGTACAGCATGAGGTTTTCGAATTTCCTCAAATACCACAAACTTGTGCATTACATTGCACTGCTAACCGACTGGTCTTCGCATTAGAACTTTAGAATGAGTCCTTCCGAGTGTAAAGATGTATCAGTTCGCTGAAGGGTGAAAAATACACGGACATGAACTCTTGCAAGCATGTCACTTCATATTTAGAACAAGGTTCCAGAGTGTGCTTCGTTAAATACCTTGCGGTCACCATTTTCCGTAATCTTTCTTGGCCTCTTCCGGTGGTCGAGACATTTCACAAAATCAGGAATCTCACACTTCACGTTATTCGTTTGAAGATGCTATCTACCCCAACCTACTTAATGAAACGTTTTGTCTTCTCTCGTATCCCTCTCCATTGGCTTTATGGATCCCGTTATTTCCCCCGGTTTTCTCGTCAGACTTCAAACTCCTATGTACAGCCATCAAACACGTATGTGGACACCGAACGTGTTGAGCAATTTATGATTTCATATTACTTTAAGGCTTGCCAGAATACCCATCTCACCGTCCGCACTCAAACGTTAGTTTATCCATAAGCATCTCAACATCGACCACTTGTTGCAAGTGCAAGCATGCGGAAGCACGCAAAACAACATACAAGTCTTCGGTAATTGCGAACCCTGCACGGTTGGTTACTAACGCTGAGCTTGTCAGTAAAAGTTTTAAACTCCAACATGGCTGGATTTGTTTAATTATTTGTGTATACAGCGTGTCATCATTCTTTTTGTTTCTACCCCCGGCCATTTCCACTACAGAAGGGTGAGTATGCAGCAGCTGAATATCTCATCCCCATGGGGCGAATTAAAGCGGTTTCTTGACTAGACTATAAAGGTCGGAGAGCATCAGAAAGACATCAGACATTTGTGGTAAAGTTATTTTCAGCATATAGCATAATAAGCTGTTGAGTGGGACAATGAATGGGTGTATCCATGTCCAGTGTGAAATTGTCCCAAACTATACGACTGCAGAGAGCGAGAAGGCGAGAGCGGAAACAACCTTCGATTAGATCAATTCAAAATACACATCTCGGTGTAATAAACAGCAGGAAGCGTCATTCCCGTAATCGCGAGTATTAACAGGTCAATTACATAACTTGGCATGGCGAACTAAATAGCATCTCCAATAAAATTGGCGTGGCATTGAGCCGGGAAAGATTAGAGGGTGGATGCGTAGTGGTAGGTTTCAAGCCTTGAACCTGAAGGTCCGGAACACACGTGACAACAACTTGAATTACGGCCCCACACCCAGTCCCACCACCACCCTAGCTAATCAGGTGATATTTGGGTCTAGCCACGGTCTGTTGCACTATTCCCACGATAAGGCTGCGCTGTACCTTCTTGCTATGTTTCCATGTTCATTGAAGTTTGTCTTATTAAAAGAAGCCCTGTTGACGGTGTGGTCTTACACAGACTCGGACACTTCACGATTCGGGGTTTATATTTTCCTCACTTAGTCACTGAGTAATATGCCTGGGTGTCGTAAACAATGGCGACAGTGCATCCACTCATTATTCTCGTAACACCACTTGATATGCATTCTCGATCTTCCGCTTGGGTTTGCTTTCAACATTCCAAATGGGCAGCTAAAAGACAGCAACCAAAACCGGCCCAAGAAAGTGAATGGTTAATGATTGTAAAAACTGAAACATTTAGTCACTGTGTGTTATGACCATCCGTTATGAGTATACAGTCTCGACTAGTAGTCACCTAGGGCGCTGAACTGTCACTCAGTAAAATTTCGTGTTGAAATGCACCACCCTTAAAATCCGAAGCATTAGTATACAGTCGGCTAAAAATAGTTTTCGCGTTGGAAAATCACTTCGCTTCCTCCCTGCTTCTCGCCTAATGCAACCATCGCAGCTTGTAAATAAATAAATAAATACCACTAATAAAGAGATGGGGGGAAATGCCGCGGAAATGAGCTCATCAATCAAGTAGACCAACAAGGAATCCAATACATAATAATCGAAACCCAAACGAAAATCGCTGCGGTTGCCGATAAACTAATGTTACCCGTCATTTGACGGATAGCTAAAAATGAATTCACCGATTCCGATTTTCTGTATGCCAGATAGTGAAACATGAACGAACACCGGCCGGTAGGGGGTGGCAATGTTCGAAAAGAGTGACCTGGTAGCTTACACTCCCTTCCAATGGAATCGCAGTTGGAGTCTTAGGTTAGCCCAACGCATCATTTGCAAGGTAAGGGGATGGAGTGGGGAAGGTGCAGTGTTCTATGAAATGGCATTTCCCCTGAACGTGAGAGAAACGGATATTCATGTGTGATGAGATCATGTGCATGATGTTGGGCCATGAACGATGATAACCTTTGCACGTAGAACTTATTTGAACCGCAGTGGATACACAACGCGATGATGTCGGTTAATAAGGCTGAAAAAGCTACAGGTACAACGGAGTAAGAAATAGATTTTTGCGAAAAGTGCATTGTTGATAAACTGTTTTCTTGGGGAAGGGCCGCGGGAGGGTGGGTGACGGTATAAACTTCTGGGTCCATTTGACTTCATCACGTACACGACTGTCAGAACCAAAATCGTGAGTTCGAACCCATTAGACACACGCGCAGATTCATTAAAATAGTCAGTGATTTTCACATGCATTGCAATTCACTTCCCACCAAAGAAAAACAGGCTCGGTTGGAATGAACAGAAACTCAGCGAATGAATGGGTCACGTGACAGACGAAATCAGAATCAGGATCAGTTCACCTTTCTAATACAAAAAACGTCTCACATTCAATGCGCAGTGCGAACCGGAATGAAATCCCCAAAACGAAATTCCGAAGTGAAATATTGTATTAAGAATAGCTGAGAGATAGAGCACGGTTCATTGCTATGAGTACTATGTGCTCAGATCCGTTATTATTATTACCGCAAAGCATTTAGAACAGGAAGCGCAACTCATTATTGAACCATTTCTGTTGTTCATCGCCCAACAAATTAATCCGAAGTGGCCTTCTTGTGTTGTTAGTGAAACGAGAAACGTCAGGGTTGGAAATATGAATTGAGTGTTAGACATAGTGAATGGTGGTTAGCGGTTATGAGTATTAAAGGTGAAGGGTTTAGAATCCGAACTGCTAAAATGGGCTAGTTAATTCATCTGAACGAATCATTAGCTCTGAATAACAGTCATTACCACTTGATACAGAAATCTTAATCTTGGGTGATCCCATGCAAGTGACCAAGGTCATAATTCCAGCGACCGTTGACTATCCGTGCGAATTCCCTCAATGTCACCACTTATCTGCAACCCACATACTTGAGAATTGATCGTAAAACTGCTTACTCAGTAGACAAAAGGAAGTTAGAAGAAAAGTTATCATCATCATCATCATTACCATGTAGTGACATACAGTGGACCTAACTCCACTGATCACTACCGAGCTCACAACGTACACAAATCAAGTGACAAAGCGCAAGATGAGGATGGATTGGACCTAACTGGAGGGAGGCAAAGAAAGTGAACCTGTATAGTCAACACAGAGTACACAATATAAGCGTGTATATATACCTTTTCAAGCATTCTCACCTGATAAGAAATGACAACAAGAACACCACTGTTGCCTGTTAGTGGCTATATACTTCCGCGTCTCCAAATGATCAGTTGCACAGTCTTTTGGACCCCAAACTGGAAGATGACAAACATCTACTATATGTAATCGCTCTGTGTATTGCTAAATACTTTGTTTCCATCTATTGACCTCCACGTGGTTTCCTCCAACCTGGTACCGCAACTGCAAATAAGGCGAGATGCGGTAGACGATAGTTAGCTATGCGCAACAATGTGTGAACCAAGTACGCGACGGCCTATCTCAGGGTTGCTTACACGCTCGCTCCATCCAATCCGCACCAAACAGTTGAAAACTTCTAGACGATGAATATCCTCCAGGCGCAAACTGACAGCACAGTGTACGACCCTTCAGTTTCCAAAAAACATCACGTCGGCACCAAGAGTGCTTCCGTCCTGCATGCTCGTAGTTTGGAAAAGCCGACGGTTACTTGCGTGACCACGCCAGCCTCATTTGTCACGCAATTACCTAAGAGAGAAACATTTCACTATAACTTATTCTTGACCACCAAGCATCAGAACGGCGTTACACGACACCCAATCTTAAAGCATCACTTTGAAGGTGCAGTGCATACCAAATGGAGCTGCAGAACTTGAAATTCTGTCGAGAGCGCTTTGCGCATCCTCCGTACATTCGAACAGATAAACGATGTCGTCAGCGAACTCTAAATTACACAGATTTTTCCCAGCTGCAAATTCAATGCCAACACTTGGGAGACGACTTAGTGCGTTCTCTCGTATTTCGTCTACGATGACGTTAAATAAGACTGGCGATTTGTTTGTGGACGTAATTACTGCTAGCATACACAACCTGGTCGTGGATCCTGAAAACGGGTGGGATTTTAGAAACAGATACCCAAAGAGATGCATTTTGTATGAGCGTTTCTCAGAACAAGAAGTTGGTCATGCGGACCCGCCGCGGAGAATGATCACGACTCGAATGCCGCGAGGAGGCGGAGAGAATATTAGGAGTTACGGCATGGGGAATGTGAACTGCGAACTACATATCTTATTAATGTCAGTATCTGTTGGATACACAAGGGAGACTCAAGGTGCCGAACCGCACCACACTTCAACGGAACTGGAGTACAATTGAACCAACCGGCCAACTGACGACGAGACCACGGATTATAGAAAGTATATGGTCAGTAAAGTGAAGAAGATATAAGGGTAAAAACTGAGGACTAAGTTAGATTTTAAATAAAGCATGGGAATAACAGTAATTTCTCTGACAGTGAGAATTGCGCTAATCAATATATATACATATATATATATATATAAGAATGTCTTTTTGCTTCCTTTTTTATTTATTGAGTATAAAAATGTACGGTCAACTTTCGGGAAGCGGGCTGCGGCTATACAAAGGCTGCCTGGGGAAAATACAGATATAGGGAAGACGGGCGGTGGTGGAGTGGCTCGAACTCGGGACCTCCGAGTGATAAGTTGGTGACCTAAACACCTAGCCACCACCGCCACCATATATATACATATATACTTCCAGCAGTAGTATGAACAGAACAAACGGTGTGCAGCATTACGGGCAGTTGTGTTGCGGGAAAGAAGGGCATCGTTTCAGTCAACTCGCCAACAGATAACGTTCATGAAACATTTCAACAGTACCTAATTGGGCAACCTGCTAACCGGCTGTTCCGGAAGAGAGATTTAGAGATTCGACTGTCATACGACAGTGCAATCAGTTTCCATCAATAAGCATTGAAGACCGCGAGCGGTCGAGAATATCAGACCAAGTGCGTTGGCTCTCAGAATATCCTAGTGGACGATCTGATACAGTCTGAAATTGGATTTTCGGATAAAATAAGAAGCGAGGATCGTGGGAAACTAAACTAAACTCAAATCGATGTTGGATTTAGGCGAAAAGAAGCGGAGGCGAAACCATAAGTTTTATGAATTACACTACGCTTGAAGAGAAACGGAGAAAGAATATGAGTTTAGACTGATCTAGTTAAAGCATTATGTCAGTTTACATTTCTCATAGCACCATGTCGTTTTTATTGAAGTTCAATTGATTTGCCTTCATTATATCACGACAAAATGTTGTTGTCTAATATTGCTCTGCCTAAACAGAGCACAGACGGGCTGTTCAATGCGATTATAAGTGATGATATTGGTCCCCGTAGCATCGCGGCAAAATGTAAACTCGTTTTGTCGACAAGATGTAGCCCCGATAGATTTCATTTAAAGTAAGATCAAAAGATTGAGTAAACATTATACTTCGTGATTGTTGACCGAAAATCCAACCGGAGGTGCATCTGTTGTGAAAGAAATAACATGCCATAGGGCCAATTTCAAAGACGTGTCAAAAGTAGAACACGGACATAGTCCATGTACCCGTTTTCAATAAGTTTGACAAAACACGCGACCCTGGAAGGGGGGGGGGAGAAACCATTCGTGATGGTGTACAACTGACATTAGGGCTACACATATTCACCATCATACAGTACTTGTTCGAAGTTTGTTCCGCATTGGAAGTCAAACGGACCGCGATCAAAGGTTGAGAATGTTTACCCGCTGCAATAACGGTGCATCTCGATGTGACAGAAGGTACCCACGTACAACAATATATCAATAGCTGATTTCTAGTCCACAATCGACTGCATGAACCACACTTACCGTCACAAAAAATACACATCGCCGTAATGCTAATTCTACAGGAGTCATGCTTGAAATGAACAAAATGGCCAGAAAAGAAAACATTAGTTTTGTATTCCGACATCTAATTGATACTCACTTATTAACATTCAGCCCTGGACATGGGGCAGTATTCGCCTATTTCAGACATGAAAGTTGGTTTTGTGCTCCAAGGCATAAGTTGGTGAAACTTTTGATGAAAGATAGATCTCTAAACCAATGCATTGGACAGTGTAATCAACTTGGATCTGATCGGCGTATAGCAGGGTACAAAGGGCTAAAACCCACATAATTAACACAGAGCTTGATGTTCATTGAAGCTTATACAGGTTACTAATAGTGAAAATCTCAGATTGTTTAAGTAACACGATGGCAAACTTTTCCCGATTATGGTAAAACGAATAACCATTGCGAATTCGATGCATACCCCTAAATTAGGCGTATTTTATGGAACACGCGTTAGGAACAATAATTCGTTTGTGCCCAACCGGCAGCGATGGTATCTTAGAAACTAAACGGAGGACGAAAAATCAATATGAGGGGATGAAGCTGCACAGACGAGCCACGGGAAACGAGCTCCTGATTTCAAAGTATCACACAAAAGGCTCGATGCTATAAATCGGCGACACCCTGGTATTGAAGGTGCGAACTGGGCATCATTGCTTTTAAACGCGTCTCACTCGGCGTCGACTGTCTATGGGTAGCGGTTATCAGGGACGAAACGCAGGCCTTGCGGTTCAAGCTTCGAACAGCCAAATACTCCGGTTATGAAGAGGTGAGAGAGAAAAATTGAAGACGTTGCACTCAAAGCATGATGAGGAATACAAATTTCAGCCTACTAGAGCGATTCGTGAAACAACGGTTAATTTGATGTACAGAGAACATCTAGAAAACGGTGAAGCCTATTTGCAAATACATATTCATAAACTATCCTTCAAGAGAAAACAAATACATTGAAGCAAAAATGCTGATCACTCACAAGCTACTGAAAAAAGCTCGCAATTTGCGAACGATGAAAGTAAAAAAACACACGAATGATGTGATGCGTGATGGAGTATTGATTAGGTTCTAATTCAGATTCCATTGAAGAGCAAACTAAATGACACAGGTTTGATCATTAACTCGCTTTAGGAAAACCGAATACGATGCGATAAGAAACACAATTCATCAATGTTGAGAACAAAACACGACAGATGATCGTTCAAGTGAGCCCAATGTAAATAAACCACATCCACTGTGACCATACTAACCTTCAGCTTCACATGCATCGATAGCGTTTTTCACCCCGGCCACCAAAGTGCCAGTTGCTTTGGATACTTCACGACTGGCCATTTGAAGATTGATCAGGTTGGACGAATTCGGATCGGCTTTCACTCGACTGGCCACAAACAAATGTGTAGTGCTCACGGCAACTTCCTGCGCGACGACAATCATACGGCCCAGGGCGCCCGTGTCTCCACCGGCCACTGTGTCCGCAACCTCACTAGGCGGGGGAGNAGTATTTTGATAAGTGGGGTAAATGAAATTTTTTTCACGAACAAACGCATTGGGCCGGAAAATGGAATTTTAGTAAAGCCAGTCAATCAAAACTAATATCATGTGTCAGAGATATTCTGCAGTCAGTGAAGAAACATGGATATGAAAACTATACAGCAACAGATTTTCATGCGAGGGAAACATTTGTGTAGACCGACAAAGAGCACTGGAAGGCTGTGTCAAATTTGCTGTCTGCGGAGAGCTTTGGTCGTACTCAACTAAGAAAACTTCCACTTGGGGGTGGGGTGGACGAGAGACAGAGCGAAAGGTATTCGTCTTCACGGGAAAAATAGGCGGGCAGCTACACATAAAAACAGCTGCATTCGCTTCAGTTTCGTACTTTGAGCCTGTTGTGTCTTTCGGATACCCATTTGATCGGTCAGCGAATTAGAAAGAGAGATAAGGCGAAAAACAAAGTAGTATCGAAATGTGGAGAAAGTCATTCTGGATGTCTGATGCGATCCAGTGGAAATAAAAGTATTTACATTACGAAATTGTTGACCATAACAGATATTCGTTTCATATACAGCCTAAAAGCTACTTGTGTGCAGTGATGTCGAGGACCGTGGTGTTGATTTCAACCGATGATCTCTCGGAGCTCGTCTCTCACGGTTCTTAGTTAGCTGCGAAAGCTGCCACATACCTTAAGTGAGAAGAATATGGGTATAATTGTTCAAGAGAACGCAAGTTGCTAGATCAATTGCGCTAGGGTTTCGTCTGCTGTTGTGGAGACTATCAGCTTGCTTAGGCGAGTCTTTGGTCGGTTTGAATCAGCACTGTTCCCACGTTTGCTATCAGTGTACCATCGACCGGACACAGAGTACGCCATCCTAGCGTGAGATGTTGGAGCGTCCACAATTGCTACCAAGATGATCAAAGGGTTGAAATTACCCACCAATGAGGGGGATTACAATCATTGGGAATATATTCTGTCAAGTACCGCTGAATTCGAGGAGGCTTGATTTGGGCGTATCAAATACTACAGAACCCAAACCATCCATGTCAGCCACTACTCACGTTACCGAACAACAAACGCCTAAGGGGACATCGTTTCAATTTACCGATTCCAAAGTGTGGACTGGAATGCCGGCGTCAATTTTTTGCTGTCCGAGTATACAATGTTTGGAACGTCATTTATGCACTAACTGTTGAATATTTCAAGCGGAGAGTTTATGAAACCTCGGAACATCTCGAATTCCTACACGACTAAAAAAGCTAATTCGTTGAAGACTACGCTATATGTCAATTCCTACCCGGAAGTTTATGTGATATTCTATTTCATTCGCCGAGGAACGATTCAAATGTATAAATTTCCTATGGGAACAAGAGAAGCATGAGCTTGTAAGTAATTCCCGTAACAGAACTTTGAATTTGCTTAGTCAATCACACACACACACCCACGAAGCACTGTGGACTTTTGCACTTAGTTTAGAGCTCGTTAGTAGCGTAGTCTCGCGTTTGGCTTGTTCGGAATTTGCATTAGACCCTTTGCATGGAAGGCGTATAAGATGAATGGCCAAACCTGAATGGAAGATCGAATTTAGCGGGAAGCTTCTGAATGGAGCTCCCACAGAGCATAACAAGTTTCCGTTCGTTGCAACTGAGCGAAATCAGTTGACATTGAAAACGACATCTGCACAAACCGGACTCGGTAATTCTGGTTGAAAAGGAGGTAACACAAACGCATTATACACCGCAAGTTTCAGAGTGGGGTGGAGGAAATGAGAAGTTGAAAATTCCCGAGAGTACAGTCGACTGGCTGAACTAAGTGAGGACTGTGTGTGTGAAGATGAAGTCTGCATTCCGGTCAATCCAAATCAAACGTGAAATTACATATCACAAGTGATCCATGATTATTCGGGCTGTTCGAGAGACAATTTCTCACCGAAATAAAACATTGTTGCAATAGCAGCAAAGTACCGTAAACTAGAACAGCTTTAAGGAAAAAAACAGTGACTGGTTGCCACAAACAAATAAGCTTGAACACGATTACGAAATACCATTTGAAAGAAAAAAGTATTATGGGTAACATTTAACTAGCAAACACTTGCACGCGTATTTCACCCTAAAATGCATACCCTGAGTTCAAAAAGGAGGCCAGTAAATATTGTTTCGCATATACTACAATCTGGGTTCTCACAAACGAAAGGAAGGATGGAAAGAACAAACGTGTCACCAGAAACTGCGAACACGCGAGCGCAAGTGAGTCAGTCACACGTGCCTGGCTGGACACACATGCCACTTGTCAATTCACTTTGTTCGAGTAACAGGGAAATAAAAATAAACAGTCCGTGTCATTCGACTTACACAAGAACGTTCGCACAAGCTCCTACCGATTTGGCTGCGGACAGAAAACCCTGTGTCCAACGGCTGTGCTGCCTGTAAAATTCCGACACATTGTGGTTCTCCTGCGCACGGACCGGATCGAAATTGGACAGTCAGACATACAGATGAAATGGCACAGGATCAAAACAAAGGATAGCAAGTTACATTATTCTGATATTTGATGACAGTCTATGTCGTATTTAACCGCACGGTTTTTACAGTTTCCCTGTTTGCCACCGACAGGTGAATATTGAAATGTGAACGGCAATAGGTTACAGGTTAGTTAAGGTCGAACCATGATATGGTCAAAAGGAGGAGGAAATCAATTTTTGTGAAGATAAGTAACACAAACACTCACGTGTTCCTTGTCTAGTTTAAAGGGGTCAAAATAGAAAGACGATTCCATAGGTCACGAATGCATTGTCTGTCATGGCCGATCTTCCGAGTGACAACGGCAAACGCACGGAGCAACGAGCCCCGTGCAAAAAGACACATGGTCTCCGAAAGCCTCAGTGTTGTCGAGAGTGGATGTCTCGGGTTGCGGCTTGTCACCTATCCTTGCTCATTGCGAAATGCTCCCATGCGACCAAGCGCCTCAAACAGTTTTTGCTAACCAAGCCCTACTAACGAGCTTCTCGTGGCGATGTTTTCCCACCGAAATGAGAGGACGAAAAGTTAACATCTGGGGCTATAACCGGGTTGGTGAACCACTGGAAGTCCACCTGGGGGAGTTGGCTAAAAACCCTTGATTCCAAACCAACCAAAAAATAGGCGTATGAACCATACACCCACGCCTTCCTCTTTGTGGTAGTGGTCACCGACTCGATTGGTTATCGAAGTGTATTGGGCATCTTGGACGTTTTACCCGTCCAATGGGTGTGTGATCCGATGAACTGGACACCGGCCCCCAACAGATTGCCGTTCCCGCACATCACCCCTCTGCCTTGCGCGTCAGACTGTGGCTAGCTGAAAGCTCCGGTTGTGAACTCCTTGAGAA